CGCGGCGATGTCGCCTACAGCCACTGCCAGCATACTAAGTCACCCGAAATTTTTAGTTAATTTAGTATGTCTCACGATGTTTATTATAAAAATATAAGCTATTTTATATCCAGTTTATATCATAACAATATTACAGACATCTCTGCTTACCTCAATTTATGTACAGCAAGTGTTGTAACAATCAGCGGTTATCACGCTTGTCACATTAAGAGATGCTACTGACAAAGATAAGGAGGAAAATAAAAGTCAAATAAAACCTGGACCTCTCTCCTTATCTATCAAACGGCGTCCGGAGATAATTTTTATGCTTCGTTATTATATTAAAATTCATAAAAAATGTAATAAAGCATAAAAACTTCGGAGTGATCGAGCACTTACTCGTTCGTAGAAAATGAGTTCATGCAATTATTTTTATGTAATGGTATGACTACACTAGTCACTAGTCTTGTCATAGAAGCTTTTATGTTTGCTAAGTTCCTAACGCTCGCAGCAGTTTGACACATGTGCGTAAAAATGTGGATTTTAGATGTCTATTGTCCGTTTCCATCAATTTAAAGGACCGTAAGGATAGGTGACCTTTTAATAAAAATGACAGTGACTTATGTAACTCCTAACAGTACAAGTAAGGGGTTATTTTGGGTACTTCCTCATCCTAAGTAACTTTGAGTTATCAGATGGTTTAAGGTTGGTGTGATACTAGACAATAGACGTCCATAATAATTATTATATTCGATATACATTATTAACTCTTTGAGTACCAATTGTTCTTTAATTGGGTCTATAATGACGGTACTCAAAGGGTTAAGAAAGATTTCCCCTTTTGATATTCATAGTCAATACAAACACTTGTGTCACGTCTTATATCAACGATTCTAGTAACACATAGAATAACATACTAAATCTTCTCAGAAATTCTAACAAGTAATAAGTAAAATAAGACGATTAACTCGTCGAGTACCGGTTTTATAGACACAATTAAAGAACAATAGGTCGCGGTCACCGGTGACGGCTTGGTGTTTGACAGTTTAACCCTTAACTATCCAGAAAGCTTTTGTGACGTAACTGACCAGTAGTGTCCAACAGACTCATTTTATAATTATAAGGTATGATGAAAGAAAAGAAAGATATTTTGAATAAAAAAGACAGTATAATGTATTTCAGTAATGTGTATTTACACTTATTTACTTATAGATATTACAATTATTATTTTTTTCAGAATATTCAGTGCATGTATTGCGTTTGCATTCAGCACAACACTGTTTAGAAGCACTTGATAATTTCGAAGGGAAAATATTACAACGCTTCTTCTTTTTTCCATTGTAGCTTGATATATTGGATTGCCAAAGATAGGGCACCAGTATTCTCTAAAATCTACACCTCCCTGTTTATTGACGCTTATAGTCAATAAAAGACCTCGGAGTACTTGCATTTCGATTTTATATCTATTGATTTCCATCGATTTTGTAAAACTCTAAGCCCTTCAGTATTGGTATATTTTACTATTATTTGTAATACGTGATCGTCGAAAAAAAAGGCTGAAACTGTCTATCGGATCTATTATAGTTTGGCCCGAAGGAGGAAGAATCACCTTATGGATACCACCGCGAATTATGTTGTGTCGAGGCGTTCGGTTTTGCCTGTTAGGTTCTGATTTCCACGTTGTTATCTCTTCCTTTATAAGTGTAAATTGAGACTTATTCTTGTAATCAACATCACTCTTACTCCATAATTGTTCATCATCGTTTTCAGATGCTAGTTCTGTGACATTACTTTCACTATCAGAACAGCTGTCAACAGCAAAATTCTCATCACTATCGCACTCATGGACAAAAATGTTTTCATCGTCACTTTCAACAAGGGCACGTTGTATTTCACTTTGTGTTAGTTGCCGTTTAGCCATAACATTCAATAAAAACGAATTAGAACATGACTACATTATGACAAGAGTTTCTGATTACTGATACGTGATACGATTACAAAAACTATGATGATAACACAAACAAAGGTCTAGCAACCGCTATTGCCTACCCGACACCATAAGATTATAGGTAAATGTAAATAAAAGAATCTACCTTCACACTTGAATCAAATAAAATGATATTGTGTCTGTTGGACACTTCTGGGTTGATGAAGTACTATTTTCGTTTATTGACCAAAAATAATAAATTATTCACGTTACAAATATTTTCATTGCACATTTAGATTCGTAAAACATTGGCGATAAATTAGATAAAAGGCCAATTCATAAAAATAAAAACTTTAGTTTTTATGGAAACATAAACGCAAAATTGTGTCCGCGAGACACTTGTGGGTTGTTAAGGGTTAAAGTCAATTCTATTTCGTATGAAAATAAAGATTTCTTTCATTAACGAATTACTGAACTTCAAAACCAATTAACGCGTATAATGTGGGTTCACCTTTAAAACTTAGGACATGTCAGTTGAACTCGAAATAAGCTGTCACTCAACTGAATGAATTGAATGGTAAACTGAGTGAATGGTTCAGTTCACACGTTTCGTTCATTCGTGAATGTTTGAATGGGTTGACACGTCGGCGAGGTACCATTTATTCACGCTGACAGGTTTATTACGCCGTGTTTGTGGAGGACTAAATGTGACATAATGTTTAAGTAGGTACCTATTTATTTATTTATTGACAGGGTTGATTTTTAGCCTATTTCGACGGGCGGTGGAAAGTTTTAGTACTGTGCATCAGGGCCGTAATACTCATAGGCAGAGCAAAGTTCACGGCATCACGCGTGAATGGCTGGACAGATATCACTAATTCTTTTTTGTTGTAACATAACATAACATTTTATCCCCGAAGGGGTACGCAGAGGTGCACATGCCACTGTACAATGTAACACCCACTTTTCACTATTTATGTTATGAGTCCCATGTAATAGGGAATGAGGCTATTGCTTTTGTTGTATTTGTTATTATTAGGAGAAGGTTCTTGAGACAAAAAGATACCTGAAAATCCTACGGGAACGGGAGAAAACGGGATTGCGTGTATGAAGTCGCGGGCAGAAACTAGTATTTTATAAAAACATGGCATCCAACTAGGATCACACCTAGACGCGAAACAACAATTTGTAAATCATACAGTCAGTTGTTCCGCGCGGGAATTTAACCCAAATCTTGTTGCGTAACAGCTGGTTGCCCACCCATTGTTCCAAGTGATATGTAAAAAATTAAAAAATGTACCTTTTATATTTTCCACAATTTTATCAATAGCGCCAGTTTTTCGATTGCGTTGAAACGCATAATATTGACAAACAATAAAAACTGCGTTTAAAAACCGACTTCAAAAAAACAAACAAAAATTAAAAACGAATAAGCAAAAAGTAACTATTATTAATACTGATAGGTTGCCCACCCACTGATAGGATAGAATTGTATAAATTGAAAAAAAAAAACAATCAGCCGAACCTCCTCCTTTTTTTGAAGTCAGTAATAAAAGACGTTCAACTTCATAATGGAGTATTCTACTTAAAGCCCCCGTGTAATAACGAGGGTGTTGTTGTATGGTGGTGAATTTTTAGCACCAATGGCAATGTCGCCATAGAATTGTAATGGCGTCCCATGTCGTATCTCGTAACACGCACTCTCATGTACGCATATATGTATAGGTATACATGTATTATAAATGTAATGTACAGACTTACAGGCTAAAATATTTTGCGTCGAAAGTAACATTTTTCTTAAATGAAGTAGTTTCGTAATTCGTGATGCTAAATACGATAAGTAGTCATTTCAATAATATTTAGATATTCATCACTGGAATCAAACTAACTGTGCTCACTTATAATTCGCACTGATCTCGTGATCATCAAACCAAGATCAAAACAAAACATAAGATTTGTTCGGCTTGCAAACATTATAATTTGACGTGAACCGTCTTTTGTTTAGACTTTGAAGGTTAATTCTACCTTCGGAAGTTTGGTGGAAATTACCAAGGGTTTTTGTAAACAAGGGTTTTTGATAACGACTAACTTTCTAACTCGGTTTTACTCATGCAATTACTGTTATCATGATTAATCACAATAATTATACGGGGTGTAAAAGACGTGCTATTATGATTCCGTATCAACTTATACAATGTAAACCAGGTACGAAAGTAAGTTTTCTTGAAGAGCGAAAAATTATCGAATAATCTATGTATTTGTACGTAGTATTACAAGAAATAATCCGGTTGCAATTAAATATCTATAGCAATCAAAAAGACAGAGAACTATAGTTACCGACGTAGCACAAAGGATTAGTTAGCAAGCTGAAATGGCAGTGGGCCGGTCACATTGACGAAGAACCGATGACTATTGAGGTAGTAGCTCCAGCTAGATGCAGTGACGACATCCACAAAGTGGCTGGCAGTGGTTGGATGAGAAAAGCTGAAGACCGAGCTCAGTAGCGTACCATTAAAGAGGCCTATGTCCAGCAGTGGACGATGAGAACAGGCTTGTATGGTCCAGTTAGATCTTTAGACTGTAGTTTTGTAGTTGTAGAAGGTGTAGTAGCTCGCAGAAAAGATCACAAGTTATAGTTGCTAGTTGCGTATATTAAACTTGGTAAAAGTTACAAATACAATTGTCGTATTTCTTTGCTTGACGTTGTTCGATAGATAAAGTACAGCTACTACTACTACGATTTTTGTAATTCGTTAAATTATATATGCTATGCATTGGGTGAAGGACATTTAATATTGCTACGTCGACTATACGTTCTATGTTATTACACGTATCAAAGCGTTATTCTGTGATCAAAGTCTTAATGAAGAGTGTAATATAACTTACTAGCTGACTATCGAGGATATAGCAGTCAGTCTATATACAATAATACATAAGCCATGAAAAAGAAGTTATTAAATATTTTCGCTACAAACAAACAACAGTTTCCTACAGAAAATAAATATAAGTATAAATGAAAGTGGGAGCTTGCAAACAAGGCTATTATAACCGTATAATATATAAGCTAAAATGTAAAATACCTCCATTATACAAAATGATGGTGAATTGTTTTTGACTTTTGACTGCATCCTCCCTTTGTATGTCATGATACTTTGACAGTAAACAATTAAGGTTTGACAGTTACCCTACTCGAGTTCATCTGTTTTCAAACAATTTTTGGGATCGAAATGTTTACGGTGCAATTGAGATACAGCGGCGTAATTGGTACATTTCAAAAATATCCTATTTTTATAACATTATACTGGTTGCTATTTTTCAAGACGTTGTTTACTCGTATAGTTATTTTATCTCAAGTGCGCGGGTGAGCCATAGTTGTAGTTGTAGTGCGTATACACACGCGCTTGTGTGCGTAAATCACAGCAAGCTTATTCATTCGCATGCCGGCCAGAACTAGGCGTTCCCGAGCGTGCACAAACAAAGACAATGTGCATGTACATTTACCCACACAAGTATGGGATACCCGCGCTTTTGTGATACAATATCTACATGATGATAAATTTGGAACAGGGATATAGCCTCGCACAGCAAAACTGTGGAATGATCTGTCGTCGCCGGTATATTCGAACCGATACGACCTTCAAACCTTCAAGAAAAGAGAGTATTCCTTTTTAAAAGGCCGGCAACGCACCTGTTACTCATTTGGTGTTGCGGGTGTCCATGGGCGGTGCTGATCGCTTACCATCAGGTGAACCGTAGGCTCGTTAATACTTGCCCGACCCGGGAATCGAACCCGAGACCCTTTGCCCGGCAGTCGCACTTGCGTGGTCGCAAGTCAGCTCAGCTAACGAGGCAGTCAATAGAAATAACGTTAATAGTATATAACAGTATGTATTAACTTCAAATAAATTACTTTAATGGATGTACAAGCATTAAAGACCTCTTAGAACCACTCGATTTTTCAGCACACACTTCAGTACCGAAATAAATTTTCATACACAAGTAACATTCAGTACAACTCGATGTTAAACTCAATTTGGCTGAATATCATCGAGCCTCAAGGCACACACTCCTGTAAGGGAGTGTCAATCTACTCCCCTCCTGAAAGTCACGTGTAATTACTGACAACACTTGTGAAGGGTACTGAAATTGTATTTGTTGCATGAATATTTATTTTGTGACAACTTCTCATTGTGAAATTGAAATTATGTTATTATTTTAGAATATCAAGAAAGGTGTGTGTGTGTGTGTGTAATTTGTGTGTGTATGTACATATGTATATGTATGAAAGCTACTTCCGCGCGGTTTCACACGCTCTGCTCAGCTCTGATTGGTCGTAGCGTGATGTTTTATCGCCGATAGCCATCCTCGATAAATGCGCTATCCAATACAAAAAGAATTGTTCAAATCAGACTTGTAGTTACGGAGATTAGCGCGTTCAAACAAACAAACAAAAAAACAAACTCTTCCGCTATAAGATTTATACGTAAAATATGTAAAACAATATGCTAGGGAACCGGCTGCTGCGCAACGTGTAGCGGGTTCGATTCCTGCACGGAGCAACTCTGTGTGGTCCACAAATTGTTGTTTCGGGTCTGAGTGTGGTGTGTATGTGAATATGTAAACTTGTATGTTTGTAAACGCACCCACGACACAGGGGAAAATCCTAGTGTAGGGCAACTTAAAATGTATATTTAAAAATAAAAAAAAACATAATAATATAATGGTTTAAACCCAGAACGTTTACTAAACACTAATACTGGATTTGTCAGCCTTAGATCATTAGTCTTTTGATCCACTTATATTCTAAGCACTGACATTGTAGAGCAGATAAAGTCCACTCAGACATACTGCCACTCAAGCCACCCGTCGCATTCTCTGAAAAATAATCAAAAATCCTTCTGAATTTCAGAATGATTATAAAAACGCTATTGAAGGGTCCTCAAGGTCATTGAACTGCGGTTCAAAGGCTCTACAAAATGTCTGACACGTTGGAATATAAGGGACAAAAGAAATTAAAATAATATACTGATACAAGTACATGACATCAAAATACACTAAACTTTTGTTCAATTTTGAACTTTATTACAAAATAATTGCGTTTGAAATTGTGTGAAAAAAGTTGACATATTTGTGTACCTTGATCTGCGTGTACCTGTGCTTATCTCTATTGTGTATTTCGAAATTTATGCTGTGAGGCTCTGAGGTGTGAGGTGACTGAGATACGAAGAGGTCTGTCAACCTCATTTGTGTTCATGGCTTAAGGATTTTGAGGGAGAAAGAGGACCATCTTTTGATTTAAGTGTATTTTTCTTTTTTTAATGTTTTTATTAAAAACTCCTTTTGACTGCAGTTGAATACTACTTCTCAACACTAAACAATTCATAACTTTTAGTACTACATAACAAAGTTCGTAATATCTACATACTATAAGTTTACTACTACATACCAAAGTATTGTGTTCATAATATCTGCACACTATAATAAGCAGTTTTTTTTTTTTAAGGGGGGAAAATCATCGAATGACTGCTCCCGCCTGGGTGAGGCGGAAGGGAGTGTCAGACTCTTACTGACTAAAAACCACCCCGTTCCTTCTCCTGCACGTCGAGCCGGAGCCCCGGTTACCCGTTAGGTTCTCCGCGACATAATAAGCAGTGCCTGTGCAATATGCATACAATAAGTCCCTCTGCATTAAATTAGTTGAATTAGTTCTTAACACTTTTTTTTTGAAGGGGGGGAAATCATCTTATGGCTCCCGCCTGGGTGAGGCGGGAGGGAGTGTCAGACTCTTACTGACTAAAAACCACCCCGTCCCTTCTCCTGCACTTCGAGCCGGAGCTCCGGTAACCCGTTAGGTTCTCTACGACTCCGTATCGACATCAGCCCTATTGGGCCCCATCTGTGGTGGTCTGATGGCTCTTTGAGGCTCTTAACACGTTGCGTTTAAGGAATAGGGTAGATGACTAATTTTTATTTTAATGTCCGTCTGGTAGATTATTTGAAAACATTAGACACGTATTTTTTATTTTTCTACAGAAACAAATACTTTCGATGATATATTGATTTGAAATGTCGCGTGACGTCACTTCTATGTACATCTTATACGTAGAAATGACGTTTTAGCCCCCACCTCTAAACTTTGATTTGTTTTATCTAAGTATCATTTTATAATAAGACAAAATAAAAAAATACATGTCTAATATTTTTTCATTACCTAACTTACGGACTAATTAGATTTTTAATTTTTATACCCTGTCATCATCCCTATTATAAATGTTAAATGCATGTGCGGTTTGCATAAATTGCAATTATAATAAATATTGTTCTGTGTTTGTGACTAATGAGAGATTATTATAATAGCACATATTATTATATTCTAATACATTTGGACCATAAACTGTTTAATGAACCAGTACCATCTGTACTATGTTTTGGCACAAATGATTAAAAATTATCTGAATTATGAACACTATTATTTTTTGCAAAAAAAAAATCCAGAATGAATTTCTAGATAATTTTAATATCAATCTTAATTAGTACCATCATCTATGAACTTATTAATCTTCAGTGACCAACATATTTTATAAAAGAAATCTCGAAAAGTTTAATTTTCAAAATAAATTCAAAGTTAAATATTAGAGGCAGTCGAGTCACATTTTCCACTCAGACTGACTCGCCCAAGATAAGATGTGAACTAGCAAAAAATATTCATTGAAATTATTTGACATTCAGTATTTTTGACGTGAAAATTACTAATTTTCTAGGGACTGGAGACTCGTTCATTTAAATGGAAACCTACGTGAGAATTATTTTGTAGTTATAAAAATGTTATAAATGAGAAATATCTAAAAAGTGGAATACTTCTTAGTAGCTTCTTATACATGTATAACAATGACAAGTTTTAGTAAAAAATTTACATTTTTACATTGTAATATCCTTTTTAAGTCATTAGATGCCGTGTCGGACAATGATGTCCGACGCTAACAGAGGATTGGCCTGTAACAGTTTTTGTCGGCAGTTAAAGGCTTAAAAAAATAGCAAGGCATCTAGTCCTTTATTGCGCTGACAATAATGTGTCATCATCATCATTCACACCAAAAGCTTTTTTTTTTGAGGGATGAAAATCATTCTATTACTGCTCCCGCCTGGGTGAGGCGGGCGGGAGTGTCAGACTCTTACTGACTAAAAACCACCCAGTTGCTTCTCCTGCACTTCGAACCGGAGCCCGGCAACCCGTTAGGTCCTCCGCAGCTCCGTATCGGCATTAGCCATATTAGGCCCCATCTGTGGAGGTCTGATGGCTCTTTAAAACGCTCGGGTATGGTTCTGGTCGGGCGGCTAGTCAGCCGTGCTCGTTGTCCGCAGGCCCGTGCTAACGGTGGCCGGAGATCGTCTCGCGATCCCCGACGCCCAGAGTGTCTCTTGCGACGGCTGTGGCGTGGGGAGGTTCGTTCCCTCACGTCCTCTTCCTTAGCTAGCATGGCTTCGCAGAAGGAGGAAGATATGGCAATCTAGTCCCCCTCACTCCGTAACATAGTTTGAACTAGAGTCGGACGCGAGAGCTGAGGACACGGCAGTACTCAGCCCGCGCAGGGCACACCGCCACCGTATGCCCCACCGTGTCCCACACCAAAAGGTACCGACAGTTCAGCTAGACTCAACTAGACTGGACCATAACAGCGTTTTCTATAATCTCCATATTTTGCTAATAGATTGGACGTAACCAATCCAAAGGTTCTAGTTTATTATCCCTGCGCCACTGCAGACATTACAACTACGTTGCATAACTGCAACTACACATCAGCGCGGAATCTAATCAGCTAATTTGAACCAGTTTCAAACAAACTACATAACAGTGCAAACTACTGAAATCCCTACATTTAGTTTGAAGGCTGTAGGTTTCATTAGAACCAGCCAATTACATCGCTACAACTTCCAAGCCTAAAGTTTAGCAAGTACACCCGCGTGCTGAACTAGTAGCTGGTAAACTATTAGGGTCGGTACAAACTGGGTTTTGACCTTGTATTGTGTATGGCATATTTAGGTCACAATATAATGTAGGGTCAATCGTTTTGTTATAGAACTACGTCAGTTTGTTTATGTGTTGTTCTTTTAAATCTAAATTACTGAATTGTTTTGGATAATTGGCAATTTTAGTTTAGCAATGGATTTAGTTTACATTTTTGCAACAAAATAATGTCCTACAGGGAGCTATTTAAAAATATTACTAAATAGATTTTTATCCACATAGACATAAATTGACATTTTGACTGCGATCTAAATGATTATTGGTCATGAAGACAAAAATTAATTTACTGAAACAAAACCAGACCCGAACAACACTGATTTTACATTCAAACTCCAAAAACGATTGATTTATTTCGGAATATTATACCTATTTCTACATCTAAATAACATATTTCCAAATTACTTTCCCTCCTCCCACGGCCCTACCAGCGCATCTGTATAACGTCCTCCTCGACAAACACTCGATGAGTTTGAGCTCGAAGATTCGTTCGCAACATGCGATACTCTGTTAGTAGTGCCTTCCCGAACATTCCTTCAACAATTTCATATTAATCAGAGTTAAGTTATTTAGCCAAAACTACAACTGGCTGTTGTTAGGCTGAATTACCTAGGCTAGGTTTCAGATGCCCGCTTCTTATGCACGAGGGTGCGGTTGCGAAACCTACTAACGACAAGTACCAATGTGACTATTTCCGAGTTATATGTACTTTCTAAAATTATTTACACACCACTGATAAATGGTAAAGGAAAACATCGTGAGGAAACCTGGGCTTATAATTTCTAATTATAAGTTTGAAATCGCTAACCCGCATTGAGCAAGCGTAGTGATTAATGCTCAAGCCTTGTCCATGTGAGAAGAGGCTTTGCTGAGCTGTGGGCATTTATAGGCTGTTCATGATGATGATGAGATGTAATTGTTTAAGGTCTTGGGTTCAATCTTCATGTGAAGAAAAAAATGCTCGACACCCTCATCCCTAGCTCCCTATAACGTGCTAAAATTAGGTGCACATTTCTGCTTTTGTAAGCTACAGCTAGATAGCCTTTATGGATCACACTCCCGCCATAAAACGGAGCTGTTTGCATTTTTTCCTGCATTTTATGTGCTGAGTTACGTTTACGACCTCTTGCGGTTACCGGTGAAAAATTGTACCATATATATTTAATGTAACACGTGATTTTTTAACTCAAGTATTCTCTCGTAATATTTATGTATTAAAATGTGCCATAAAGACATGAAAAGTTATTAATATTCTATGTTTAATGTTTGCAAAGATAAATGTAAACAAATTCATACATAACTACTAATATTTTCGGCGATAATGTTTACAAAAGATGACACAATTATTTGGATGTAAAAAATAACATAATCCTAATCCCTTCAGTGGAAAATATAAATGCAAGGAACTATAAACATATAAGAGTGCAGTCGCGGTACTATACAACTCAATTGTTCTATGAATAGTAATTACTACAAGCTTCTCGTATTATTACGAAAACATATTATTATATTAAACCGGTGAGGAGTATCGACTGTGTGGCAGCCCTCAGCTGCGCCGCCTTATGTTTCTACAACCATATATTTTATGTCTGCCATAGTATTGTATGATATCACACGTCTGGATTTTATGGAGTAAGATATGTCAAAGTATTTCGCTAAAAGATAACTAAACCGATGCGAAATATTTCTCATATATAGTAAATACAGTAATTAGTTGTTAAGACTCACAGCCCCCTTTGTTCCAGGTGGTCGTCATGGGCAGCAGCACAACGTCGGACAAGACCATCAACACGAGCACCGACTCAGCGGCCACCGCGCTCACCTCGGTCACCGGCACTGACGACTCCATGGACGCCGAGCCTGACGCTCCCGAGCTGTCGGAGCCCAGCCTCATCGACGACCCTAACGTTCCTGCCCACCCTCCAAGCACAGCCCCGCCTCACTACCACAGAAACCAAAACAGCAGTGACATCGACTCCCCAGCGTACACAAAACCGCAATCAGCGACCGACGTTATAGACTCCCCTAGACCCGGGCCGGCGCGGTTTGTGTTCGACGTCCCCATACCAGACCCGAAGAGACAGGACAAGCCACGGAATAAGACACAGACACAAGTCAGCCAGACGAGTATAGCGTCCACATCTATACAGATACCTTACGATCCAAAGATGGATACGCCGAAAAGTCCAAAGGCAAATCAAACGAAATATGAAACACACTTTAAGTTCGAGCCTGACCCAGCCAAGAGGAGAGGTAGTGAACCGAGAGTGAAGAACAAACAGAAGATAGAGAAGGAGTATTATAAGGATGAGGTGGCGAAGTTGAGGAGACAATTGGAGGGCACGGAGGTGTTTACGACGTCGAGAAGACGGTCGTCAGCACACCAGCACTCTGTTCCCCCACCGTCCGTCAGTAGAAGACAGTCCACAGGTAAGCTACAGACACAGTAGGAGACACTCTATAAGTAAGCTACAGACACAATAAGAGACCGTCGACTTAGTTCCACCACATTAATATTCTAAGCAGTGAGTCATTTATTTGCTAAAGCCAGCGTATCGTGCCCGAACCTCGTAAGCGAAGCGATTACCAGAAACGTTAAATTAGATGAACATTATCAACTTCTTGATCTAAGTTTGTTCGGCAGTTTGTTTCGTATTTATTTAGTAGTATGCTAAAGATAAAAGTTATTAAACTTTGGCGATAAAATACACATTATATACGTAGTAGGTGCTTCATATTCAGTTTTCGCAGTGTTTAGAACTGGCGCAGTATTAATGGGATCAGTTTCAAACTTTAAACAAGGAAGTTAAAACTGGAATCAAATGTATGTTGGTGTTAAGTTCCTTGGGTATGTAGAAGGTTCACTATTGTCTACACCGTTAAATCTATTTCATTTTCGTCCCGAAGTAATGTCGGTAATACATTAGTTTTACAAATAAATGAAATGTTTAATACAGAGAATATCTGGGTAATCATTGCAAAAAGCACACTTCGAAAGCACATACATCTCATAGTACATTATCAAAACATCACGCCATGTTATTCTCGAAGAGATATTTCTAGTTGGGTGGCACGTGCTATGTGAATAGTACTTACTTTACCTCTAGTGTTTCATGTGCGTATTTCCATGAAATTATGATATTTAGATTAATGTAAAATTGTAATCAAAAATAGCTACTAACACGATGACTCTTTCTTCCACCCAGCTGCCCAAGTCCACGTGACCGCCAACCCGCTGGACTCCGCGGCCAACAACATCCCTGCTGGTAGGACGACCATCGTGGTACAGCAACCGTCACTCTCCCTGGACTATGGTGGCTGTGCCACCATCCTGGTGAGAGATGACGAGCGCCGCAAGAGCAGGGTCTGCAGCGACCACATCCAGCAGCTGCTGGACGTCACCAGCCAGTTCACCTCGGAAGACCTTCATGAGTTCGATAAGAGGTAAAGAGTTTAGGTAGTTATTAAGTGGTAATGTTTCCTATAAGGAAAGGAACGAGATCCTTAAATAATAATACATAGGATATTATTTTGTATAGTTAAAATAACTAACTGTAGCTCATAACCTCTTTTGGATGAAATCTGACCTGATGATAAATTTTGTGACACATAAATTACTCCTAAATATTAAGCATTGGACAATATCTAATTTCAGAAATATTTTACACCCAAATCCAGAACAACGACCCGTTACCGCTTTGCACAATTTTCGTCCAACCAAACATGAGGAACAAAAACATCGTCCGAAAATAAACAAGATTAACATTCCGGCCATTAGGTGCCACAGACGATAACTTTGCCAATAACTCCTTGGCAACATTTGCCGGAGTTAAGTGATGACCTATTCCTAATGTCAGACTTCAGGTAAAACATGGAAACAATAAGGAAATGAGCCTATTTCCGGCCATGACGGCTGTAGGCGGGGTTTTGACCTCATCGATCTAGTTGCAGAGTAGTTGATGTTACTCGCAGTGCGATGTTCTGCTAATGGATGGTAATGTACTGGTAGATAGGGTTACCAGACAACGTCTGTATGGTGTTGACTAGGGATGTAAATATTCATAAGTAATACATATGTTACTCTATTTTTGTATATGAACCTACGGCACACAATTGAAATTCATAAGGCCGGCAACGCACCTGTGAATCCTCTGGTTTTGCGTGTGTCCATAAGTGGCGCTGATCGGTTACCATCGGGTGAAATTCCATAAAAGATTCAATGTTGATATTCAGACAAATCTATAACTCTGCGTAGACTTCCTTAACTAAAGTTTTTATTTTCTTCGTCTTTATTTTTTTTTATGGCATAAGCCGGGAAACGACCAGACGGATCACCTGATAGTAAGCAATCGGCGTCGCCCATGGACACCTGGAACACCAGATGCGTTACAAGTGCGTTACCGGCCTTTTGGGGATTAGGAGTTTGAGGATCGTTGGGGATTCAGGGATTGGGGAGATTGGGGAAGGGGAGGGTAATTGAATTAAACTCACTCACACGACGAAACACAACGCAAGCGTTGCTTCACGTTGGTTTTCTGTGAGGCCGTGTTATCACTCCGGTCGAGCCGGCCTATTCGTGCCGAAGCATGGCTCTCCTACACTTAAATATCAAAGTAACCATAAAAAATATCATCTCAAGCTAATCACACAAAATGGAAAATAAGAACAATTATTATCTAAGAAAGACAACAAAGCAGAAAGCGCAATGAGACTTGAAGTACACAACTTCAAACATCCCGCCTTCAACTTTGCCGCGCAAAATCTTTCTTTGTTACGTTTCCCTTTTTTAAAAGGAAAAGATAAAAGGCGGTTTTTTTTTCTTTTGTCGAGGTAATTCGCTTTGGCTGCCTCGGGCCGACACACGACTTTTTTAAATGTTGCCTTCTTTTTGCAAATGCGTCGACTGTTATATTCAATTGTTGGTGAGTGGGACACTTAATTGGGTGCCGGCGTGAATAGGATGCTTTATTGTCCTTTTTTATTTTAAAAGAGGTTTTAAATTAAACTGTAGTGGTGGTGTAGTTTTAATGTGTATAGTGTTTGAAGCCTTAGTTGTTGTGATTAGCTTTGTAGATACCGTCATGTTATTACTGCCTCGTTAGCTGAGTGGTCGCTAGTGCGACTGCCAAGCAAGGGGTCTCGAGTTCAATTCCCGGGTCAGGCAAAGTATAAATGTTTTTTTTTAATCTCACTAGTATTGTGCCCGGTATATGGCAAAAGGCTCTCACCCTATTACATGGGACTCATAACATAAATAGTGAATAGTGGGTGTCACATTGTAAAGTGCCAGTGCCGTAGATAATGTGCACCTCTGCCTACCCCTTCGGGTAGTGTGATGTTATGTTAGGCGTGATGTTAAGTTATGTGACTGAAGATAATTAACAAAAAGTCCTTTTATTATAACTTGTTTTGGTTTCTAGAGTTCTGATACACTATAAACTACATCAGTTAAATAATTTATAGCACTTTACTATGTCTTGTAACATCTTAAATCTTATCTAAGGATCATCCTTCTCAATCAAAATTATTATCAGGTACAATCAAACCAGTCAGTGGATAAACATTTACTCAACGATGAGATAATAAACGACGCAATAAACAAAAAGAATCAACATTTTAAACACATCTAAGTACTAAAACAACAATAAAATTGTATCAAACAGAAATAAATCTGAGTTAATCTGAAGCCAAAGAAAAGTTTCCATGATAAATATAAGGCAGGGGGTGGAGATGTGAATATTTACCACATTTGAAATGCTATTAAATCTCAAATACCAGCCACTTCTCCCGCGAGGTCCAGTACACTATACAGAGATGTACAGAAGGTGCAGTCATAAACTCTGACTCGCTCAATATGTACTGAATTACATACGTAATAATATCCTTCTTCCAAATACATAATTTATTTATTTAATCATTTATGTACACACAGACAGCACAGAGGATAACACATATATAAAATAAGAGTACAAATACAAAGGTGCTACTTATTCCTGTTGGAATTTCTTCCAGTAGACCTGAGACAGGAAATCTATTTAAAACAAAAGACACAGTGTGTAACAGAAAAATAAGAAATATGTATAAAAAAACTAAAGCTAAATAATAACTATATTATAAATAAATATAATATAAATATAAATACTTAATATATAATAATAACAATAAATAAAATACACACATAGAAATAAAAAACGTATCAGTACTCATGAAGAAAGGTAATGGTCCTTAATTAGTTTTTTAAAGAGAGCGATAGATTTAGCGTCTCGAATGTTTGGCAATCATCATCATCAGCAGCCCATAATCGCCCACTGCTGAGCAAAGCCTTGCGGATGGACGTCCTATACTGCGCTTGCCGGTACGTGGCCTCCACTCGAGAACCTTTCTGCCGTTACAAGGAGATGCTGGACGCAGGTCGCTTCCCACCAGCCTATTTGGAAGTTATTGGGGGAGCAGTCTTGTGGCTGATATGATGATGAGCAAAGCCTCTTCTCACATGGAGAAGGTTTGACCAATAATCACCACGCTTGCTCGTGCTTACTTTTGAAACCAATCTCAATGTCAATGCAACTTCAATCCAATAAAATCTCAATAATTATTCAATGTCAAAATTATACAAGCTATTAATAAATAGCATTCAGAGTACGGAATATAAAGCCAAACTCAATACCATTTAATTCATTAAATATGCACGCAATATGGATGAAATAGGCGCTAGTATTGCAACTCGAAAGTACGAAATTTCACAATACCAATGTCAATCGATCGGAATTGGATTCAAGAGTAAGCCCACAGGTTTCCTCACAACGTTTTCCAAATTGCCAATTGTCATTAACCGGACAGAATCCATAAACCTATACTGAGATTTTAAAACTATGCGTTAGAAATAAAAATTAAATCTATAATCTAGAATATTCAAAGGGTGAATATAACAAAAAGTCTGGCTTACGCCGGTGGGCGGCTCTGATTCCTTACCATTAATAAATCTCATTTTCTTCCCCTATCCCACAAAAATAGACATATTCTCGTATGTTCTATCAGAGTGGTTATTCTGAACACTTACTTCACAATGAGCACAGGGATAAAATACCGCCCGGTAGAGCGGAAACATCCCCCCTCCCCTCGTACCTCACACCCCCGCCCCCTTCCCCTCGCGTCCCCCGCGCCTGCACCGCTCTTTGTTTTACAAAACTTATTACTTCCGGCCGCTTAACTATTATAATAACGTGGATGTTACAGTTTTCAGCTTTGTCAATGTATTTTTGCTACCTTTATTTGGTCAGTATGTTTATATTGTTTTAAGTTCATTGGTCAATTGCTTCTCTAATTCAATGGTTGCTTAGACGACTACCAGGTAGGGTAACCAGTTTAATTCCGAGTCTACTAAAGTGTATTAGCATGGCGACTAGGATTGTGCCAGGTAAACGGCAAAAGCCAGCCGTTTGTGTGATGAAATCATAAAACTTTTCTGAGTTTCCCAGCTATGTCTACAAATAGACAAATAAAGTTTAGAATTATGCACTTTGTGTTGTAATATGGGCTTCGCTTACCATCAGGTGATCCGTCTGCTCGTTTCCTTCCTATTTAATAAAAAAAAATCACTCGCCTTTAACCGCTAACAAATATACTTACTTCGACTTTTTTAAGTAATAAACGGGCACAATAACGCTGACGGTGGTTTCAAAAAATCAAAGTTCATTTTACAAGAAAAAGTATACCTAACAAGTGACCGTGATCCTTCAGGAACACGATCTACTTTGTAACAAACACTTTGATCCTGTAAAACTAAACTGTTGAGTTTATAAAAAAATACCAACATAACCTTTTTTCAAGATTAACTAAAGGTAGGGAGGGAAAGCTTATTTTTCTAACTCTACAATATTTTTAATACGCCCCTAGTGTTCTTTTAAAGCCGCGGAGAACCTAACGAGTTACCGGACTCCGGCTTGAAGGGCAGGAGTAGGAACGGGGTGGTTTTTAGTCAGTAAGAGTCTGACATTCCCTCCCGCCTCATCCAGGCGGGAGAAGTCATTCAATGATTTTCCCCCCTTAAAAAAAGTATTCTTTAAAAAATATTCTATGTACAGTTTTGACATTCCTACGATTATATCTATAGATAGACAGATAGATTCCATAAGTTTTTTTAAAATTAATATTTAACAATATGTCGTACAACCCTATTATCATTTCTATAAAAGTGTAGTTGCTGGAAAAGCCAAATCTACGACTGCTAAGAGCTTCGGGCTTATTCTAGGACTCAACAGAAATATATGACGAAACACATTCACAATTATTCAGTAAAGTTTCAAACGTTTGCAGGCACAATGGTACAAGTAGCCCACTGACCTTTTAGACACAAGAGTAAGTACCTAAATACAGTCAATACTAACATAGTACCTAAAAAAAAGAAATAAACTGCCTCGTTCTCCGAGTGGTCGTAAATGCGA